CACATTGAACATTTGAGAAGTAGGAAGGGAAAGATTGAAGTGGAAGGTAAAGAGATATTATTAATAGGCCAGTGTGATTTTGGAACATAAAACAAGCAAACTATGAAGCCCAAAGAAGAAGTTTTATGGCAAGTAGTTACATCCCAAGTACCATTTTAAAAGGTACATTAAATTTTCTACAGTTCTGAATAAATCAAATGTCTGTGTTTACACCTTTATTGAAGTTTTTTATTTTATTAGGAACAAATAAAAAATATCAATGACCTACAGAAAAATTTTGGAATTTCTCATGAGGATGGAAAAATCCAAGAACATTTAAAATTATATTATATTAATTTGTAACATTGAAGCATGCAGTTATTTTGCCTTTGAGCCTCCTTTTGCATGTGGCATTAAATGTCAATACGCATTTTGCTGTCACCTTCTGAAATTTTTGCCTGCAAGAATTTAGGGAGATAAACAAGACAATGAAAGGTGAGAATTGTCAGGCTCGGTGGCTCAGCCTGTAATCCCGCGCCTTTGGGAGGCTGAGGTGAGTGGATTGCCTGAGCTCGCGGGTTCGAGACCTGCCTGGGCAACTTGGCGAGACCTCATCTCTACAATAAATAAAAAATCAGCCGGTGTGGTAGCGCGCGCCTATAATTCCGGCTACTCGCAAGGCTGAGGCGGAAGGATCGCCGGAGCCCAGTGGGTCGAGGCTATGGTGGCCGGGAGCGGAAACTGCTCTCCAGTCTGGGCGACGGAGTGAAACTCCAACTCAAAAAAAAAAAAAAAATTAAAAAAAAAGGTGAGAATTGTGATTATTGATATTAATTTAAAAATATTTCTGTTTCATTCTCATCAGCCTCCGAGACTTGGAACACATTCAACATATTAACTGTTGAACCCTGTAATTACGTTTCTGATAAACAACCTTGACATTTTTGGCAGAACTTGTTCAAAAAAGGGGAACAAGTGAAGAACTAGTAGATTCTTGAACACAGACTACTGGAAAATTAACTATATGTGTATGCTGTCTTGGTACAAAGTTGTTGGAAAAATGTTGGTTAATTAAAACAGTGATATATTTTCCTGGTTAGGTTCAGTTTTGTTTTATTTTGCCAAGTGTTAATTGGTTTGCAGTTATTACCGGCACACCTTCCAAGATAAGAAAAAATGTTGGAATAAAGAAAATGGGAACCAGCACATTTTACAAGATAAGAACAAGTTTTAAACCAAAGAAAGTGGGGAAAAAAATGGATTCTCTTTGATAGTGACACTGCAATCATACAGTATGGGTATAATCAGGCTTCCTCCTGTGCTCTCACCCCCACTTCCTTTACCTATTAGTCAAAAAGAAGAAAGAGTATATGTATATATATACATGTATGCTTGTATTTTTGAAAGTATATATATACATATATACATGTATGTATATATTTTTGAAAGCAGTATTTATTGAGAGGACAGAAAAACTCCCAGAGTGAGAAGGGACCTGAGGGGGTTGCTCAGCATCAATATTTCTGTGCAATAGAATTCTATCACAGAAATACATGATTTAATTAAAAATTTCTATTATCTAAATTATGAAAATCTAGACTAATAGTTTTTCAGTGTTAAAGTTTTCTTAACAGAAAATATGGTTAATACAATTACCTAATGGATTGATGATGCACATAAAGTCATTAGTGTTGTGCCTGGCATATATTTAAGAGCCAATACGCTTAGCAGCCATTATTATTATCTTTTCATGATTGTTATAATCATTATTTAGCACTCACTGTGAATCTATTGAAGAAAGAAGCTGCATTATGGAAAAGTGCATTAACCACTGCTGTGGTTTTATTATTTTTTTTTAACCGGGTTGACTGAGAGTAAAAATTAATGCATGTCTAGAATTATTTCTATGTAGAATTGTGATGCACTTTGAAATGTTTACTTTCAAAATGGTTACATTCTGATATAAAATCTCTGCCCCTCCAATAAAGTGTCTCTGGAAAATTTAGCAAATCTATCTACCCAACTACCCAAGGAACATTTAATCTTGACTTTTTCAGCTCCCTTCCACATTTCTCAGCACCGGTTTCTTATTCTGCTGTTTAGGGTTCTGTTCTCTGCTCTGCAGGATGCCTAGAGAAATCTGAACAATCTATCAGTGCATAACTATTAACAACTGGTAATAGGTTAAGATAAATATTTTTTGGTGTTGCAATTTGCAGCTCTAATCAAGGAATGAAGTTGTATAAGTCAAACTTAATGCTAGATTGTCCTTTGGATCAAAGCCCAAGACTGTCTCTACCATCTTGCAGCCCTTCCAACTCCCTACTCTAGTCTTCCAGGGTTCCTCCAAATCTCTCTTCAAATCTTTGTTACCCATTTAATATCCTTGTTCCGGCATCCTCGTATTTTGGAATTGACATGAACCAACTAGGCCCAGCTTATTGGTGAGATTCCCTGAGTAGAAACTTACCTTTCTTTTTTGATTTACTGCCCTATTGTCCAATTTTTTCAGATAGTTCAATAGGATTAATCAGATGAGCTAATTTGAGGTGGGATGTTAAGAATCACAGCAACATTATGTATTATTCCTCCTGCAAAACAATTTTAATAGCTTTCTTCACATTCTCTGAAAGTATAGTAGAAAAGATAGAGTGGATATTTGAGGACTTGAAGGAAGGTCGATTTTTTTTGGAACCCTAATCATACCATAAATATGAAACACTGCCTCTTTTTTTGGTTCTGTTTTAACTTGATTTGCTTTCTACTCTTTTTGCAAGCAGGTAGGATTCATGTGTCCTTCCCTCCATCGCCCATAGGAAGTGAACTATTGCCTACAAAAAGAAAATTTTAATGATGTAATGAGAGATTTTTGAAAGCAACTTGAAGAGCAATGTCTTTATGCAACCTCTGTTAAAGAAATGTCTTCAGGAGATTGAAGTACAAAGTGACTGTCAGCATAGTGGAAAGGAGAAGATTTGAGTGTAAGATTTATGAGTAGCAGTGCAAAACAGAGAGTATTTTGAGTTGTTTTTCATTACATAATGCCTTGAGGATTTGATCTGATTTCTTAATCTTGATTTCTCCACCCATCTATCACCATGTCTGACCTATCATATGCATTCAAAAAATTGAGTTATATGTAGATTGAACAGTAATTACCTAATGAATTTCCATAGAAAAATCAAAGAAAAAAAAACTCAGGAAAGAAGGAGAATAATCTTCTAAAATAATAATTAGTGCTTGCAGAGAAAGGAGGGAAAAGGCAAGGTGGTGACAAAAAAGATTAGAAGATATACAGATCTAATATTATTTTCAACTAAAAACCTTTTGTACCAATATATTGTATAATTGTCTTAAACACACTTGCTATTCAAAGTAATAATTTCTTAGAGGGTAAAAATCAAACTTTTTAAAGAGTATTTTATGGCCGGGTTCGGTGGCTCAGCCTGTAATCCCGCATTTTAGGAGACCGAAGTGAGTGAATTGCCTGAGCCCGCGGGTTCGAGACCCGCCTAGGCAACTTGGCGAGACCTCATCTCTACAATAAATCAAAAAATTAGCCGGGCGTGGTAGCGCATGCCTGTAGTTCCAGCTACTTGGAAGGCTGAGACGGAAGGATCACCTGAGCCCAGCGGGTTGAAGCTGCGGTGGCCGGGAGCGGCCACTGCACTCCAGTCTAGGTGACAGAGTGAGACTCCAACTCAAAAAATAAATAAAATAATTAAAAAAGAATATTTAACTGTCCTAATACAACCACCTGGAGTAGATACAATTTAAACATTTAAAAAATAAATACTGTGTGCCTATGCAATTGTGTTGAAAATTCTGATGAAGTTTACACAGTGCTGAGCAAAAACTATTCTTGTACCTGTGTGCTAATAAAACAAACACCTTAATAACACTGTAGGGAAGAGAAGTGCCTTTCTTATGAAACTCTGAGGAGTCATCAATTTGAAATCAAGAATCCATTTTGATTCTTTTGAGCAATGTTATAGCAGACTTTATTATAACTCCCCTGAGGCTATTTCCAAGTCAACATTGTGACTAAGTTAAAGGAATTGGGGGAGGCGTGCTGAATTTTTTAATACAGAATTGATACCTCAATAAATCAAGAGATATAAATGAAAAAAATTAACAAGAAAACATACAGCTTATCCACCAAGAGGATTAGATATATCACTAGTTAAAATCAGTCTTTGTACTAATTTACTTTGTATTTTTCCTTCTTCTGATAAAGTCTTAACATTTTCATGCTTTTTGTTTTCGCTAAGATAGTGAATAAAAACAAACAGTATGTGCATATTAAAAAATGGATTAAAGTCTATGCTGAGCATGGTGCTTATGCCTGTAATCCCAGCACTTTAGAAGGCTGAGGTGGAAGGTTCTTTTAAGCCTGAGCAACATAGTGAGACCTTGTTTCTACAAAAAAATAAAAAATTACCTGGGTATGGTAGTAGCTACCTCTAGTCGAAACTATTTAGGAGGCTGAGGCAGGAGAATCACGTGAGCCCATAAATTCGAGGCTGCAGTGAGCTATGATCATGCTATTGCACTCCAGCTTGGAGGGCACAGTGACACCCTATCTCTTAAAAAAAATCTGTGTATATGTATATGAATATACACACACACACACAGAGCTAGACAAATAAATCCCGCTGTTATCTAGATAGAGCGAAGCTTTTGTTTAAGAATTCAATTGAGTTCTGACTAAAGCTATTATTTCATATCTTCCCTGTGCTTAATGCAAGCAATGGTGACTAAGAAGTATATAAGGTTCAGGGATTGGTCTTACTTAAATAATAATTTTTTTGGTGAAATCTTGGCCTAAATTCCCATTGTTGGCAGAAAGCTACTATCTCCATCCATTTAGATGAGATTTAAGTGATACTTCCAGTTGTTGAGTTCTTTGAGTTGTATGTGCTACAAGGTTCTCCCACATGTGTATTATGAGTGTATCACATCATCCTAGATTTTGGAGAGAAAAGAAGTCTAATGAAAATAGACAATAGCCAACCATGTTGTCCTGTTCAAGCATGCACATGTTTTATTTAAGTATTCTCCAAAGGTCTATTTTTTTCCAGCATAATGCAGATATTATGCTATCCTTTGAAATAAGATATATAAATTTCAAACAAAATTGTCAAAAAACGATGACCTTAGTTACTCCATATGGTACACAGAAATAATTACATTTCACTTACAATACAGATGCACTTAACACAGTCATCAATAGTCATTCACCACCAACACAGTATATTTTAAAATTACCTAAAACATCAAAAAGTTTTTTTCTTTTCCCAAAATCTAAGGAAATTAATAGTCTTGGTTAAGTGGTAAATCAAAAGAGGAGGCAGAATTTTCAATTGCAATAACCTAACTGCGTTTTCTTTTGTATAATATTAAGAACATGAAAATAGAACTTCTCATTGGGAATCAAAAGATGTAAGTATTCCTGATTGTGGTTTCTTTAGTCTACTTTTTAAAAAGTTTTCAATAAATGCCATCAAAGAAGTTTCACTAGACATTTGCTCTAGAAGCATAAAGTGACATAAGGCAGGTGTTATAATTGTTAATATTTGCACTGCTGGAAGATTAGTAAGATTAGACACACTAGGAATAAAGTCAGTTCTTCCCAAGAGATAGTTGAGTTTATCTTACTTTCACTCAGCAAATGTTTATTAAGATCTACTGTGTGCACAGCACTGCTCTAGAAGCTATTCTAGAAACGGGAAGCAAGAATTTCTGACTTTATTTGACAATGATTGGATTAATCCCTTTTATTATAAATTATGATAAGCACTTAAAATTATCTATAATAGAGGGCTAATTATTAACTCTTTCCATGTATAGAAGCTAAGCTTTATTCCTTACAGTGGTGGCTTGGAATGAATACAAACTTTGCATTTGACATTAAACTTTTTTTACACTGTCACGTGCAGACATGTCTGCTGATATATTTTAAGGGTGAAAAGACATAAAGACTTTTCACTTAAATGTACATAGAGATCAACTTCGCATTATCAAGCTCCTGTCCTCCTAAATCAGTGGAGAAAATTGCACCTTGCAATATACAGGAAACTTTCGGAGATCAATTTCTGCTGCCTTCCTGAATGGTGTGGAAAGCATGCTTTCACCAAATATTGCTACATAAAGTACTCCAGTTTATTTCTACATTTCAATTCACATTAGTTATTCTCAAAATGTATTCAAGATCTAAAGCAAAATAAATAACACATCAAGTAAGACTCTGAGATCACTGATCCTGTGTTATTAGTCCCAGTCAACTCTTTTCCTGAAACGCATAGTGATAAATCCACTACCTGGGCTTTTCCATAAACAACAAGGACATCAGAGAGAATTTATAGGTGTCAACTCCTTTTTTTTCCTAGTTTTTGACAAGGGGATTGATGAAAATCTACTTACTAGATAATTTGTTGGGGTGTACAAAAGTAGGAAAGTCATTTGAACTACAGTAAACGCTAGTCCCGTTAATGATGATTAACCCAATAGAAAGGTGCTATAGAAATACAGGAACAGATAACACACTGTGTCACGGGAATACAGTGGACCAAAGAATATTACTGAAAAACATTTATGGTACAATAGTTTTGGATTAAAAAGTTACCTAAAACCTGGCCACACCAGAAGGCTTTTATTTATCTATAAAGATCTCGAAAGTACAACAACAAAAAAATCTTGACTCCTGATACAACAGTTGTACAATGAATTATTGCAGTTGTAACAGTATCTAGGTGCAAGATTAAATGATAATTAATACTGAACTATCCGAACACTTTAGATTTACTATTGAGCATCCCCATGAGAAATACTGAAATTCTAAAAGGAGTTTATTTGCACAGCCCACCATGAAACATGAACAATCAGCTTGTTGTAAGTGCACAGAAATTCCCCCTTTCTACAATTATAGTTTATCATGCCTATTCAGAAGACAACATAGGGAACTGAGATCACTGCTTCAAAGAATTCTAGCATGCATTATGATGGTTTCCTTCAGTCAATACAAATGTGTGAGTTTTTTTTTATATGTAATAATCTTCATCATAGCCAATGTTCATGGTTTTAACAGGAAAAAATTTATCAAAATGTTTTTCTTTTTTTTTTTTTGTTTTGCACTCAACTGGAACGTTATGCTCAAAGATTTATTTTATTTATTTTTATTAAAAAAGAGTTCTGATCATAAGAAGCATCAATAGGTGGCATTTCATTGTGCTCATTCACAAAGTCAAAGGGTCACAGAATATCCCTCTGTATAACAGGTCAAACTGTCTAGAAATGCCATTTGGTGGTTTTATTCACATCCTCAAGTTTGGAAGCTTTTTGTTTGTTTGTTTCACTACCAACGTTCTTGCCTTGCTGCCTTAGCCTACACAAGGTTTCTTGTTTCTTCTTTCTTCTACATTGAAATTCGTTTCACAGCCAGGGCTCAAATTCTCTAAGACCTTCTTCCAATTGTTTTACAAAGCAGACACTCTGACAATATTTCCTCCTGAATACTCAGGAGATTCTGGCCTGTCGTCTCCTTCTGGTGTGGTTACTGGAGGAGTTGGGATGCTTATTATTGCTGTAGTCACATAAGGTTGTTCACAGTTTAGTTTAACACACTCTTCCATTTTGGCATTTAAACTGGATCGGCTGATGAGAAAAAATAGATTTAAGAAAGTAAGTTGTTTATTTAATTTTTTTTCATGCAACTGAGGAATGCAAGTCCTAATGTTTATAAACAACATTTTAAATATTTAAGAAAAGTTACTGTAATTAAAAAATTAAACGTGAAAACTTAATGTACAGTAAGGTGAGCATTAGTCAGTTCATTAACATTAAATATATTTCTAAAAGCCAGCTCACATGGGTTCAATCCAGGGTCTCTCAAACAAAGTGTATCCTACAAAAATTCAAGAAAGAAAGGGGATCAGGTAAGACTTCGACAGCTTGAGCTGAGCAAAGTAAAATAGTGTTATTTCAGTCAAGACGTCTGAGAGATTGGAGAAACCATTATGATAAGGTCATATCATATGGATTTCTAAATTCCTTTGACCACAGAATCTTTTTATTTTCATCTCTTTTTGGAATATTTAATGTCCTTAAAGCTCTCAACTTGAGAACATATTAGGAAGCCAAAAAAGTTAGCTAATTATGATCTAATATTTCATGATTTTCTCAAGAGGTATTCTTGCATGGATTTTATTTCTATGTGGAGAAGGAGATAAGGGGAAAAGGAACAAGAAGGGTATAAACAAATGCTTAAAACTATTTTATTTTCATGGAAAACTTAATTAAAATGTTTATGCCTTAAGATTTTCTTCTGAAATACTTCATTTTCTACTTTTTCAACAATAGATATAAAACAATGCAGAGGTAAAATATCTTTTTTTTTGAGTTGGAGTCTCACTCTGTCACCCAGGCTGGAGTGCAGTGGTATGCTCACAGCTCTATCTGCTGGGCTCAAACTATTCTGCTTCAGTCTTCCAAGTAGCTGGAACTACGCGTGAGCCACCATGCCCAGCAAATTTTTAATTTATTGTAGAGGTGAGGGCTTGCCAAGTTGCGCAGGCTGGTGACAAACCTGTGGGCTCAGGCAACCCTCTCGCCTCTGCCTCCTAAAGTGCTGGCATGAGCCACCGTGCCTGGCAAGGTAACATATCTTAAAGACAGAAATCTTTTCCTCCAAATTTTAATATTCTGGTCCCAGAGACATCCAATTTATCTAAATCAATATAGCCTGAATTCAGAATCTCATCCAGGTTTTCAACAAAGATTGTTGAATACCAACAAATAAGTGGAACTGAATTTACATACTGTCACTCTAAAAATACATGCTCTTCAATTTGAAGAGCAAAGTACAATTATTTTGGCAAAAACTGATTTTTAAAAATGTACTCCTTTTTATTACACGTTTCTGGTAAAACCAAACAGTAAGTAAAGAAAAGCAAAAAATCAATATGAAAGTTTCACTAACTTTGTCCATACACTAACCAGAGGTAAACAATTTTAGTATTTCACTTATCTCTTCTGTATTGGATTGATTTTGTGTTTGATATGGTCTAAAAATACCTTTAGGATCAAAACTGTACATTGATAGAAAATGTTTGCATAGGCAGAGTTTTAATTTTTACTGTTACATTGAATGTGTTGATTTATTTTTAGGTGGTGTCGAATAATTTCCCACAATATTGATCTCAGTCTCATTTGTCTCTTTTAGTCACGTCATTCATTCCTTCATGCTATTTGAATACATAAGGAGCTTTTGAGTGTAGACTTCCTTCTTTCTCAAATAAGAACAAGTTGTGAAGTTAAGAGATAAAAATACACTTCTGTGTGCCTGACCATCTTTTCCTCTTTCTACTCTTTAAAAACTGGTATAACTGCCGCTGTTGATCTCTAATGGACATGCCAGTGGGTCCCCTTTTCTACTTGTAACAATATTAGTTTTGTCCTTTCCTGAACCCTGGGAGCTAGGATTTAGATGCAATAGAGGTAGCAACAGGAGACCTGCCCTAGAAACCAGCACAGGTGTGTGTACATGACACGGATGAATCTTGGGTACCTGTTAGAGAGAGGTGTTCTCTCCACACATCTGATCTGAATCGTGCTGAGTTCTTGCACACTCCCTCGATGGCTTCCTGATACGTTGGTATTTGGGATGCGGAAAGTTTTTTTGTGTCGTCGTGAACAGCAAGTGCTGGTGACTCCTTGTGAAGAGAGAGAGGGACTGTGACTTGAAGGACGATTAACGGTGGCAACTTCCATGCAGCTTTCTTCAAAGACTTGTTCATCCACAAACTCGTGGTTCTGTTCCATGGTAGTAAGAAAATGTGAAGAAAGAAGAGAAACACAGTTTTTTAATTGTAAAAAAGAAAATAGTTGTTATGTTGAAAGCTCAGATATGCCCAAGTACAGTGAGACTCGATTTAATCGTTAACTAAAACCACTTTCATAAAGGTTAGAATATCAAAACCACTTATTTTTGGCATTTGTTTGGAAATGAAATTTCTTTAGTTAGACCTAGAGATGAACAGCTGCAAGTTGATTTAGTGTCTATTCATAGACTAACTTTATCCTGAAATATCATTTATTTTATTTTATTTTTGAATTGGAGTCTCACTCTGTCACCCAGACTGGAGTGCAGTGGCCGCTCCCGGCCACCACAGCCTCGACCCGCTGCTGGGCTCTGGCGATCCTTCCGCCTCAGCCTTCGGAGTAGCCGGAATTACAGGGACGCACTACCACGCCTGGCTGATTTTTGATTTATTGTAGAGATGAGGTCTCGCCAAGTTGCCCAGGCGGGTCTCGAACCCATGGGCTCAGGCAATCCACTCACCTCAGCCTCCCAAAGGCGTGGGATTACAGGCTGAGCCACTGAGCCCCGCTTGAAATATCATTTATTAATTTAAACATACAATCTGAAAGAAAGTTGTAAGCTAAAGGAAAAAAAAAACAAAAAACCTTAAAAATGGACTTAGATAACACCATCAGAGAATTTGTAAATTTCCATTGATTTTATGTTATAAAACAGAGACTATTTTAATAGAATGTCCCAAGTCAGATGGTCTGTTCTATATTAGCAAATATTTTCACACAGAATTGAAAACACTTGTAAATTAGAAAATAAGATATACCTAAAACATTATCCATTTCTTTAGATGCTTCTTTAAAATCTTCAGTACATAGAAAAATATGACTTTTTGTTAAATAAGTAAAATATAATGCTCTGCAAAATGTGTCACTTTATGTTGGTTACAGAAGGCGTTAGCACTGAACTTTTAGGCCTTTTTCTTATCTCTGTGATATATCACTGAGATATTCAGGATCTCTGTCTGTATTCAGGATTCTTCCATACCTATTCCCTCACTTCGAGCCAAGTAGCAAACAGTAATAGGCATCATTTCAAATTCCATATTTGACAGAAGCGTAGTAGAAATTTTGCTTTAAAATATTTTTAAAAAGAATTACTTCCTAAAATGCCTATGCAAGAATTTTACCTCAGAAATACAAAGGAAAACACTTTTAGTCTGAACTTCTAGAGAATGACCTCAATTACTATTTTTTTATTTGCGTGGGTGAGAATAATCTTATAAAGGAAGGCTTTGCACATACCAAAATCTACTTAACCATCTCTCATACTAAAATATTAGTAAAACAATGAGAGCAATTCATAGACTAATAAGAAATAGTTTGTTTCAGTTACTCATTTTGTCATTTCTTTGCTGAGACAAACATTTTGAAATAAATGAAATTTAACGTTCTATTGTTTAAGGCCGAGAGAATAATATAATCATATAAGGCAGAATTTTATGTTAAATATTACATTTCAGAGAAAAAATAGTGCACAAAGGGTTCACAATTTGCTTCCTTCTTTTACAACACACATTTCACACACACACATAATGCAAGTTACAAGGAATGAGATTCTAATTTATCTCATCAGTAATTGGATATTCAAAAGTTATTCTGTTATTGGTTACTATATAGTTTTGTAGATAGCACAATTTAAACTATATTTGTTGGCATTAAGTCATTTGTGATTTTTACATAAGTCCTAAGTTGTAAAGCAGTAAAAAAAAAAGTAAAATAAAATTAAAAGATACGGATAAATACACTCTATCATTAACATAGCATTTAATTTTTAAAGAGTTATTGCAATAGATTATAGACTTGTCAGAGTTCTTTATTTAAAAATGCAAATATGATCATGTGATTACCCTGTTTAAAACCTTTATATAATTTCCATGAGCTAAAGATCAAAAGTGCTCACATGCCGCCAAAGCGGTCATTTCATTATTAACTGGTCATTGCCTTTTTTCCTGCCTCCTCTTGCATTATGCTACCTTCTCTCCTGGCCACTCTCAAATTATTTCATTTCCTTTTACGCAAAGTTCTTGCTTTCTTCTAGTACTTATAATACCTGTCAGCCTCTTCATTTCTTTTTCTTTTCTTTTTTTAAGATTGGAAAATAGAGTTTATTTAGAAATCATATGAGAGAGAGAGAGAGAGAGAGAGAGAGAGAGAGAGAGAGAGAGAGAAACCTCCCTGAGGTAGGAGAACACATGGTGGCCATAGTTTAACGAACACATGGCCTGGGCCGTGCTTAACAAAACAATAGTCAATTTCTTTTCATTTATTTTAGATTCAAGGGGTTACACGTGCATGTTTGTTGCATGTGTATATTGAGCAGTGCTGAGGAATGGGCTTCTAGTAAACCCATCCCCCAAATATTGAACACAGGTAAATTTTCAATTCTCACTCCTATATCCTCCCCACTTTGGAAGTCCCCAGTATCTATTATTTCCATCTCTGTGTCCATGCATATCCACTGTTTAGCTCCCACTTATAAGTGAGATCATTTCTTCTTTACCTATCTGAGTTGCTCTGTGTGTCTCTACTCAAGTTTCTCCAGGAATCCTGGCCTGACCTGTCCCCCTGTGGCTCTGCCCTCCTTGGCCCCTCCTCTGCAGCCCCATTGTTGTTTTGCTGCTCTCTGTCCCTCTCCAGCAACATCCCTGTTTTGTGTGATAAATAAAGGCTTGATGGTGGCAGAGACCACACCAGATTTCATGGTGGATCTTGGATCTGGCTCACTGTTGGACACATAGCAGGCAAGTAATGCATATTTGTTGAATGACTACATTGGTAAATAAATACATGAATGGATGATAGTTTGGAACTTAGAATATAAATAATGTTTCTGGTGAGCGCCTAAGTGAACTGACCTGATTTAAATATGTCGGAGGTTTTGTTCTGTTCTGTGATCATCACAGACAGTAACCCCTGTTGACAAGCTAGCCAAGAAATGGGTGACTTTGCTAACAAGATGGCCCAGTTATGAGTGTGTAAGTGGAGAAATGCAGACTCACCCCTCAGCACCCATGGGCACACCAGTGATTACTTGTGTCATTTTTCTTATGAGAATAGTTTTTGTTATCCACCTCAATTCATTATACCTATGATAGAACGAAATGCTGGTATTCTGTTATTCTTTATTTTTTTGTTATTGCTATTAATATTATCTTTAGCCAGATGTCAGGAATATTTGAGCATCATTTTATTCTTCTTAATCAGCATTTTAAGAATCAGGAAAAGACAGGCACAGGGGCTCACACCTGCAATCATAATACTTTGGGTGGCCACGGTGGGGATATTGCTTGAGTCTAGGAGTTTGAGACCAGCGTGGGCAACATAGTGAGACTTCATCTCTACCAAAGGAATTTAAAAAATAGCCAGATGTGGTGGTACATGCATGCCTATTTGGGAGGCTGAGGTGAGAGGATCACCTGAACCCAGGAGGTTAAGGCTGTGGTGAGCCGTGAGTGTGCCACTGCACTCCAGCCTGTGTGACAGAATGATACCCCTCAAAAAAAGAAAGAAAGAATCATGGAAAAAAATGATGTTTTGCAGGACTTGTGATTTGAAGACAACTTTCCATCCAAATTTCAGAAACATCTTAGACTAGAGTTAAGACAGCCACTGGGGATAAAACATCTTAAGTAAGTCTTTAAACTACTTCCCAAGATGAAATGTCACTAGATAATCTTTCAAAGGAATTTCAAATATTGTGGGTTTTTAGATTGCTTGTTTTCTAGTATATTTTCTTCTAATACAGACAGCAAAATCACACTTGGAAGCATTAGGTATGAACAACAGCAAATGAAATTACTGTCGGAGCGCAGAGGAAAGCAGTCATGTTGTCTCCTTACCGTGGTTTTTTCCAGGCAGTGAAGCAGGTGGTGGTGCTGTGTTTCAAAACTGGAGCCGGATTTGCTAACAAAGGCCGGCTCGTCCTCTGAGGACTGTTAACAAAGAGAAGACAGAAGAGCTTTCTATTTTATTTGCAAACAAGGAGAACCTCAGCCACACGTTTCCACAGACAGAGAGCTGGCCTATTTTCTGAGATTAAATAGCAACATTTTATTTTATAACTAAAAAGGAACAAATGTGCAGTTGCTTTTAAGTTGGATGATCAGCATTTACATTTGCAACAAATAAGCAGTCTGGTCCTTTAGACATGCCTCCTTGAATTGAATATTTAAAATCTCTTTTACTCATTCAACTACAAACTATCTTTGTAAGTCTGGGAGCCATTCTGTTTGGATGATCAAATTTCCATCTAATACTTCGAAAATTCTGAAACCACTATCATGCTCACCTACACAAAAGCTATATTGTAAGGAAATATGATTGGAATCCTAAATATTAAAACATTTTGAGGGAAAAATTAAGCTTATCAAATTGTATTTTATGTCATGTGAGCTTTGTAACACCGAATGGTGTTTCCTCTCCATCAAGAAATAAAACAATATGTCACTTCAGTCACCCACCCCACTCCCTCACCCAAATGAACTTTAAGAAACACAAGTCATTCTGAAATAAAAACGAATCAGTCTTTTGAATTGTTGAGTTTTTTCCTCATGTTAATCTGAGACAGTGCAGAAATAATGCTTGATCATTAACAGGAAATATGATTAACTAGCAATAATTCGTAGCCCAATTTCTAATCTGCAATAGTCAACTGGAATGTATTGGGTGACACAAAAATGACACTTTTGCTATTTCGATAGTCATTGTCATAATTACCCATAATTAAAATTATATAGTTAAGTAAACCTAAATCAATATTATACTGATTAAATTGAATAGTTTTTAAAAAGGAAGTGCTTGGTTGTACCTGCAGCTGATTACTGAGTAAGCCATTCCGTTTGCTCTGCATATAAGCATTTGCACTTCCACTTTTGGCTGCCCGGATCCTGGCCAGTCGAGCTTTCTGTACGAGAAGAAAAACGAATGTTCTGTTAATACTTATGAATTGTTTTCTTAAGCTAGTGAATGCACTCTTGTGTAATCCTTACATCAGCATGCATGTTTTTAAAAGTAAGCTAGCTTTTCACATGTAACTATTGAAAATCACCTCTCTACCCTTTTTAAAGTACTTTATTTTGGTTAACTTTTATCAGTAAAATCAATTAACTACCTTGGAGCTGGGTTATGCTTTTAAAAATTGTAATTAAGTCTTTACAGTAAGATCAAGTCATTTTATTATTGTTTCTCTCAATTGTGTTATGAGAAAAATTGCAATATTATTTTACTCATATTTTTATTTATCGCAATCTGAGTAACTTAATGAAATGGAGACTGGTAGTCCAGCAAACCAACTGCCAACTCGTTTTCATTAAACTAATGTCCTTTCTGAAATAGTAATTAAGTTCAGTAACCAATTTCCTTTCTTTCTTTTCTTTTTTTTCCTTCTGTTTAAAGATCCACTATTTATCTGTATCTGTATACTCCAATATAAAATTTTATTTTTGTAATTATTCTGTTAAATTAACCAACATTGAACCCATGTTAAACAATACAGGTCTCATAAAAAAAAAAAAAATCCCTCAATTTATCTACTTTGTCTCCTGGCAAAGGTATACATGACAGTGCACTCATTTGATTTCTATTTCACTCCTGAATTTGTTGAAATAAAGAACACAGTGAGCCTATCCAGAAAGACTTATAACATTATTTTTAATTTTTAAAGCATTTTTTCATATACAGAATGTTCTTAAAATAGAGGGTTTAGGGTGGTCAGTTCAATTGTTTAGTTACAATGAGCACTGAGCAAGCTGACTGTGTAGCCAGATTTCTGGTGTTCCATGCTTCTTTATAATGACTGTTATGTACCAAGGTGACAAACAAAAAAAACGGTATTTATTTTTAAAAAAATGTGTATTTATTCTTACATGCTTAACCTTCAATTTCCTTCAAAGTATTCTGCGTTTGTTGCAATACACTTATGAGATGCTTTTCCACTGCTAAAAACAGTTTTTGAATTCATTAATTGATGCTTTTTAATGCTTCTACCATTTTTTGTTTCACCTCTTCCACATAAACAAAACGTTTCCCTTTGAGGACTTTTTTCACCCAGGGAACCAATGGGAGTCATGCCGTTTTTGGTGACACAAACTGCTGAACAGCCAGCATGGTGTGGGCTGGTGAGCTCATAAATCATGCATCATGGAATGGGCAAGTGCATTGAAAGAATCTCAAAAAAAAAAAAAAAAAATTCACTGAAGCCTAACACAGGCTCTCACAACAATGCTAGCTGGAAAACTGGAAAACTGATGCTGATGGGTTTGTAGAAAACTTACATAGCCGGGGAAGCCTGTACTACCAGGGGTCTGCTCTCCAAAAAATAATTCCAGTGTTTTTTGGGTCCCCCCTCATATCTGCCTTTAGACCATCCTAGCATGGGTCTGGTTTTACTTCCTGGAGAGTACTATGTTGGTGACCATTCTATTTGTACTACATGTATCTAGTAAATATATGAAAAAAAAGCAACTGGATGGCTTAGATGAGCTTCTTGCACGTTTATCCTACAAAGACTCCTTTTCCCATTCTAAACAACCCAGATAAATACTATCATTAGTCTCAAGTCCTGGAATTATCATTTTAATAAAAATTTTAAAATGATCTAGATTAAAAAAATTAAAAATGAACACAAATGACAAAAATGTTAATACTACAAAAATTCATCCAAACAAATCTCTCTGACCCTGAAGTCATTCCATTCCTATGCTTCAGAGCCAACCACTGGGAATCTTTCTAGGGAATTCTGTCAGAAATTTTCTCAGCATCAAAAGTAAGTATATATTAACATTTTCATGTGTATATGCATATGTATTTTTACTCAGGAGAATATTCCGCATACTCTTCTACATTAGTTGTTTCCATGTACATACAGCTTGTGAGTTCACGTGTGTGTGTGTGTGTGTGTGTGTGTGTATAGAGAGATGATTCATCTAATTTTTTAATGAAGTACAACTGGTATGAATGAAGCATTATTTATTTAGCAGGCCAACTATCATTTAATATTCAAAGCATTTACTTATTTTTGCTACTATAAGCAGTGCTGCCTGCTTTAAAAATCACGGTGAGCTTATCCACAAGACAAATTTCTGGAAGCAGAATTATTTCTGAATCAATTGGTGTGTGTTTTTTCTGGTAGGTTTTGCCAAATTTCACTCCAAAGTTGTTGTACCAAGATGCCCTTTCATCCACTTTGTTTGAGAGTAGCACTGAGATGTCTGAAGCTCTCAAAATAGCATTAAGATATCATCTGGCTTTAACTCCACCCCTTCTCCCTTCCTTCCTAAATTTGTTCTTCCTGTGTGCTGACTCTAGGTTAAAATAATACTTTGTACAAATATCATATTTACAAGTGATGGGAGAAATAGACAAATTTAATTCTTTTTTGGCAGTTTAAATGTTTAGATTGCTCAAAATATTAAGACAATACTGGAGAATGAAAGTAGAAAATTTTTTAACTTAGCTGGGCAACAGATTCAGGATTCCAGGCCAGACTCAATAAAACAATGGCAAGTGGCAAGCACATCTGGAAATGACTTAGAATTGACCTAATAATTCAGAAATAAGCAATTTACATATTGATTTTGAAAGGGGTTATTGTTGAAATTTCAGTCCTAAAATCTCTTTGGTCTCCTGGCACGTTCATTGCCTTCTTGGTTCTCTTCTACTCATTTCATCTTCCTCCTTTCTCTCTCCTTTTTTTGTTCCATCCTCCCTCCCTCCCTCCCTCTCTCCCTCCCTCCCTCCTTCCCTCCCTCCGTCCAAGCCCCTCCTCCATTCATTTTCCAAGCATTGAACAGCTGCATTGGGAAATAATACTTTCTTTCATTAATGAGACATATACGTTGACAAAAAAATACTGTCCAATAAAGTAAAATGACACATATTTCTCCTCATCTGTTGGAAAGCCTGTATATGGTGTTCATACTGTAGAAATAGTTCTAAGCCTGAAGAAAAAGATGAAGTTGTTTTTGAGATGGAATAGTCACTTTTGCTGTCACGTACTGTTAGAGAAAGAACCTCCCATCTCGATTTCAATCATGGCTTTTTTTTTTATTTTGCTACAGTTTTACACAAGTTTATTGGTTTAATTGGTCTTGTGAAGCACCACAGCAAATGCCTGTTGAATGCTAGCCTTTATGATCTGTGATTACATCTTTGGTTACAGCAGGTAATTGAAGGAAATTATTCTACCAAGATATTTTGGAAAATCATTTTATTTCTGGCCCACTTGGCATGATGACAGTCTTGGCAACTCTGACTGTGCAATTATGAGGTTAAAAGAAAGCCACCCCCTTATAAAAGGAAATGTATTCCTTTCAGTCTCTTACCTCCACCCCTGTAAGAAATACAACTTCTTGGCATGGCAAAGTACCAGCATATGGTATGGAAATTAGAAAAAGATTTCAGTAAATTCTTTGCTTTAGCCTGAATAGAAAGTACAAGGCTTCTACAAAATAAGGTTCACCTTGTGAGTGTAAAAAAAAAAAAGATTTTGGAAGATATTTTCAAATTATTTATTTGTCCTAAATACTGATGGTATTTGGGGAAATATTGGTCCTATAAGCACATTTTTCCTATGCAACACCAATTCTTCATAAATGCAGTTTTTGCCTAGTCATCTAATCTCAGCAGGGTTTCTCAAAGTTGGTTCCAAGAAATTCTTAAGTGTAGTGGGTAAAATCTAAGCCAACCAGATGAAGCAAAAAAACCGTTCAGTAGTCAACTAAAGACTGGGAAATGCTGAAATGGTAAACAGGTTACTTTGATGTTGGGTTCCTCACAATATATCATGTTATGAATGCTCATTGTGAGGATAACGGGGATATAGTATGCATCTTTTCTCAAATCTGACATGGAATTCTTTCTACTTTCTCTTTTTTGTGTGTGGAGTATTTAGAAGCTGGTATGCAGTGCAGCATGACAGTGTTTTAGCAAGCAGATTGTTTTATAATTTCCCCCAATGACATAAACTTTACAGTGACATAAAGTTTCTGGAACAGAGTCTGGGAGTCAATCAGTGAAAGATCTATAAGCCAAACACCATTGAGATAGTGATTTTCTTAATGAGCAGTTATCTTGTAGATGAGGTGTGAGAATAGATTGAGGAAAGTTATCGGATTTTCTAGTTACCAAATTGCAAAATATTTTCAATACTTTTGAAAAATAGAGGTATCCTGGGCAGCCTTAAAAGTGAGATAGAGAAGGTCTCTCTTTTCGGTAATCTGGGACAATTCCTTATTCCTTTAATATAGGTCTATATACTCCCTGTCCCATGTCTTCTGGGAATTTTAGAGTTGTTTCTTTCATTTAAGGTTTAGCAAAATGCCGCTTGAAGAGGTAGCATATTAAACTTTATCAGTTTTTAAAAATTTAAGGAGTGTATTGGAATCTTTCCATTTGCTAAGGAAAATAGCTGCCCTAGAAATGAGATAAGTTAGTGCCAAACAATAATGGAAAGAAGAGAGAGGAAGGACATTAATGGTAGACTGTGCGATAGTCCCCGGTCTACAGCTTGGTTAATCCTGGAGATGGCAGGGCTGAGCAGAAACAGTGCTGGAATTGGGGTCAGCGGAAGAGGCTAAACAACGAGGGGGCAGCAAGAGGACTCTAAATTGGAAGCGATGAGAACTGAAAGACAATGTAGGAGGGTATCAGACAATATGCTCAGGAAGCATTAAGAACTAGGTCATTTTGTTTTGATAAAAGATAAACCAAGAGATCATTCTCAGACTCTAGCAAGGAGTTATTTCTTGCTTTTTCATTATTGTATAGTGCTATAAAAAAATCCTTTGATTTGGACACTGTTGAATGGACTAGGCAGTTTTTCTCAAAGTGTGATCTCCCGAGTAGTACTATCAATATCACCTGGGGACTTTTTTGGGAATGCACACTCCTAGGTTCTAACTCCAAACTTGAGAATCCATTGTTTTGTGAATGGTGACCAACCATCTGTTTTGTTTGTTTGAACATGATTTCTAGATAATTCCAATAAATCTAAAGTTCGAGAACAACCATAGCAGGGTGTAATAAATGGCAGACTGAAGATTGGTAATATCTTTCTGAGTCAATGTCAGAATTTTTATGTGAAAAATGAAAAATCACATACATTGTACATTGGTTCAATGATTCTCAACTTCTTACTGTATTTAGAATTATATACAGAAAAATCCCCAAATATTCATAATTCAAATAATGCTAGATTTTTTTTGACTTGGACTTTAATCACTAGCAAAGCATGTGATTGAGCATGAGCAAGTTATCTGTAAAGCGGAAATCATACACGTCCTTTGCTAAGCTATTGTAAATACAAAACACCCGGGACATTGTAGATACAAAACACCTGGGACATTCTGGAAGCTCTAGAGAGGATTGTTGTGGTTGCTATTAGTATTATTAAATTATAACTATCATTACTACTATGGTGATCATAGGATAATTACTCATACTCACAGGTTAGACTTGTGAGTATGCAGGTGATTAAGTGGTGTGACCTGTATTTGAAACTGTTTCAAAATATCAACACTGTCACCTGTCACTGCATTAATTTAGTTTTATTTTGTCAATTACATTCTACTCAATAAGTATTTATTGAAGAGCTGAGAGAATCAATAAATATTTTAAAATACAGTTACTGATGAGATTGGAAGAGAATGCCACAATTTAGGCTTATATTCATCCACATGTCAGTGCTTAGTTAAGACTTTATCAAGATTGACAGGAATGGGGTAAACCATGTATTCCCTTTAAAGGGCAGGCATGGGTAGCAAAAGCAGGAACAGTACTTACAGAGAAAAGCTCATGGGAGAAGGAAAGTACCCTTGAGAGTGACAGTGAGAATTTTCTCAAATTCATATTGTGTATATTTCATGCTTCTGCTTGAGCTTAGAGGGACAATTGGACTAAACACCAAGAAGTCTGGTCTAAAAGGTCATTTTGTAATATTAGCTTTATTGGTCAGCTTGATTCATGTTTTTACTGAACTGACTGCTTGCTTGGCTGAATTAGCTGGTTATTTTTGCATAACTTTAATATTTGGCAAATCACCCAGTCCTAGATAAATTTAAACTATCTTAGTCTAATGGGTGTTTATTCTGCTTTAAAAATAATCTCCTGGGAAAGAAAATATGAAATATCCATTGGTAACTTATTTAGTTCCAAAACCACTATTCTTTCTCAGATGATTATGTCCAGCTTATTGGTCACAGATCATTTACTGGACATATTATATCAGGTTATTATATTTGGCTTTACTAAGTCAATTTTTCTGGTAGCAATAATATGCAAAATTCATTGCATTATGGCAGAAACTTAGAATATCCAAGATATTTTAAAGATACTGAAAGCATTCATAAAACATGCTTTTCATTTAATGTAATTTTATAGCATTGCATTTATTTGTTTTTGATTTCTAAATATACTTAAGCTGAAACCTTCCAAAATATTTTAAGATTTTCTTTACTGATTTCCTTATTGCAGATGATAAACTTTAAAAAAGTACAGATATCTTGGAGATTTATTTGAAAATCAGATTTGTGCTTCCTACAGTTTTCAGACAGGCAGTTCTTATATTAAAGAAGGGATTTCTAGAATGAAGATGGATAGGTGGTAGAAAGCTAAGCTTTTTGTAGTATTTCTCTTTTTTAAGACAATATGTGTCAATGCCCAGTAGTGGGATTGTAGTACACGGGCAGAGCTACAGTTGTGGCCAAAATCCCCCTAGCTTACTTGCCAAGGGTATGTTCTGTGTGAGACTTCAACTGCTCAGAGAGTACCTTTTTCTTACTCACACTATTCACTGGATTTTCAGTTCTCTATATTCATATTAACTGGCCTATTTCTTACTGTTCTCTATGATAGTTAGTTAGAGACTAGGCATTTGTCCAAAATGAGGGGTTCCAGAAAGCAAGCAGCTACAAGACAGAAAAAGTGATTTTTTTTTGCTAAGCAAGAGGATCTCTGACAATAGACATGAACGAGTTGCTTGAACAATATGCTGTGTGACCATATTGATTAACCTGAACTTTCCAAAGAGTTGCTCCATGAAATTTCATGCTTTCCTAGAGATGCTGACATTGTTCAAACACATGTTTAAGACCCCATGTTGGAATAACCTATAAAGCCAGTAATGGACTACACCAAAATCTCTCATGGTATTTTTTTTATAGTTATACCACATTACCCAGCCTGTTTATCCACTTTAATCATAGTTATGAATGGCTTTTTTTAAAAAATGAGCTCATCCTTAAAGACAAAGATATGTGACCATGAAGAATATGAAAATATAGCAATATAAGCCCCAAGAAAACTACAAAAAAAAAAATCTCCAAGATTATTTTTTAGCAAAAAAAGCTTCTTCTAAAGGATTGGCAGTAGTGGGAAACTGTGGGAGGGCTGATTGACAGTAGTTGATATCTGCCTGGGTTAAGGGGGGCACACTTCATCAACAAGGGTAACTGCACAGTTAATATTTGTATACCTCATACTAAATTATACCCCACAATTTTATTTATTTATTTATTTATTTATTTAATTTTTTTAAGTTGGAGTCTCACTCTGTCACCCAGACTGGAGTGCAGTGGCTGCTCTCGGCCACCGCAGCCTCGACCTGCTGGGCTCCAGTGATCCTTCCGTCTCAGCCTTCCAAGTAGCTGGAACTACAGGCACGTGCTACCACACCCGGCTAATTTTTTTTTTTTTTGGATTTATTGTAGAGATGAGGTCTTGCCAAGTTGCCCAGGTGGGTCTCGAACGCGCGGGCTCAGGCAATCCACTCACCTCAGCCTCCCAAAGCACGGGATTACAGGCTAAGCCACCAAGCCCAGCGACAATTTTCAAATAAAAATTAAAAGAGGAAAAAAAGAGTTTTTCTTCACAAGGTGATTATTTTGATCAAAAAAAAAAAATGAGAAAGAGAATGTGCTAACACTTTCTTAGTTTTTTTCTGAGAGGCATCCTATCATAGTGTCTGAGGGTATGAACCAGGGAGTCAGACCGGCTTGGATTGAGTGGTGACTCTCCAACTTAGTAGGCATGTAACCTTAGAATTGCTTAATTTCTGGGCACATTCTAGTATTTCCATCTAGAAAATGGGAATAATAAAACCCCTAGATTTGTTGTGAAGGTTATATCATTTATTTTTGGAAGACATTAGACTAATTCCTGGCACCTAGTAAGCTATCAGTAACATTATTACTGTTATGACGCATTTATATAGATATATGCACATTTGCATATAATTTTAATCTTCTTGTTTCCCTATTTTATACTTGAGCATGCTCTGCACTTATCCTTAGAGGGATTAATGAATTGGCATGAAGATCAGAGAAATAGTGAACTACTGGGCCAGAAATAAAACACAGCTACAAATGATCAGATTTCTCCTACTTCCTGTGTCAACTATATAAAATATCTGAGACACATTTTGGTGTCCTTCAATAACCCTCCTCTACTGGAACCAGTTTGATCTCAGATACATAGAGACTCAATGACTCAGATTTAGAAGCCTGATTTTAATAAAATTTGCCAAAAATCTGTAATTTATTTTACTACTGTCATTAGTGTTGGTCACCAAATATTTCTTACTTTCTGCCTCTGACTTCATGTAGGATTATTTCCCCTGTCCACTCGGAAGTTACAGATGGCTATGTGACTTGCTTTGGTTAATGCAATAGAGATGAAAGTGGAGCCCCTTCCAGGAGGCAGTGTACAATTGATCGTGTCCTTTCCTTCTGCTGGAATGATTGCAGAAGTACATTCTCAAGATGAAATCTCCATTTTCTGGACAAGTAATGGATCTGTAGCATGACTGAGAAATATTCCTTATTGTTTAAGCCACTGAGAGGCTTTTTTGTTTTGTTTTGTTTTGTTTTTGAGTTGGAGTGCAGTGACCACTCCCGGGCACCGCAGCCTCGACCTGCTGGGCTCCAGCGATCCCTCTGCCTCAGCCTTCCAAGTAGCTGGAACTACAGACGTGCGCTACCACGCCCGGCTAATTTTTGATTTAATGTAGAGATGGGGTCTCGCCAAGTTGCCCAGGTGGGTCTCAAACCCGCGGGCTCAGGTAATACACTCACCTCAGCCTCCCAAAGCGCGGGATTACAGGATAAGCCACTGAGCCCGGCTCACTGAGATGTTAAGTTTCTTTTTTATGGTAGAATGACCTGACTGGTCCTGACGGATGCAACTATTGACCACTTAAGAACACTACATAGCTACTGAGGGATTTTAAAATTCATTATAAAAAGTGGGAGGTGCTAAATCATGGGGGCACAGAGTTGAATACATACTTTTTGTGCTCTTCGTTTGTCTGCTCGTTGATTTTGGTGATAGATACGACTGAAGTTGGATACAATCACTGGAACAGGTAGAGCAATGACCAAGACCCCACTCAGTGAACAGATGGAACCGAAAATCTTCCCTGCTATGGTTTTTGGTACCATATCACCATATCTGGATTAGAGAAAAGATTTATATTGTTATAAGTCACAGAAAGACATTTATACCTGTTACAAATAATTTTTTGCTTTAAGTCAAATAATTTTTTGAACATATCTATTTCTACTTCATGACTAAAATATATGTCTTCAGCCTTTAATAAGCCAGAAATTATAAATATCTCAATATAAAAATTATCTTTCAACCTTGTAGAAAATGATCCTAGCACTTAGAAATCTCTTTGATTGGAAAATATTTTAAGCCTGATGATGTAATGATAGCTCTTCAATTTTATTTTATATAATATGACATAATTCTTTACATTTATTTAATAGTCAATATTTCTATGCTGAATTTATAGTCTAGATAACATAGTTTTCCACTTAATTTTTTCAACCGTGAATTGGTTATGAAATTTAAGTAGAAAAAGTAGCACATCACACCTCTTTCATCAGATAAAATAAACTTTTCAAGGTATCCATTAACCTTCACTTGTGAAATCCAGTAGCCTTTTTTTCTTCATGATAATCTTACTCAATCTCTCATTTGTATTTGATTAGTTGACTATTCTCTCCTTGAAACACTTCTTGTTCTTGGCTTTAGTATTAGAAAATTCCCTTAGTTACCCTCCTACCTCAGTAGCCATAACTTCTTCATCCTATTATCTGACGACTTCTCCCTTATTTGACTTCTAAATTTTAGAGTAATTTAGGTCTCAGTCTTGAGTCCTCTTGTCTTCAGCATATAAATCCTCTCCCTATGTGAATTCATCCAATCTCATGGTTTAAAACTACCTATATGCAGGTTTAAAACTAACAACGATCCCCTAATTTACAATGACAGCCCCACTGTCTCTCCTGAAAACCAGATTCATATCTCCAGTGGTCTAGTCTGATTATTTCTACTCCTGGATGCCTAAGAGTCAATTAAAATTTAAATTAACCAAAATGGAACTCTTATTTCCCTAGCTTCCTCTGCCCCTCTCAAATTGGTCTCTCCCACAATGTGTCACCTATAATTAAATAAAACTACAAATCACCCAGTTGCTCATACCAACAATGAAATAGCCACCTCCCCAAGGCCCAATATCCACATCTCATCTCTCAGCTGGTCTGGTTGTCTCTGGCCAAACCAAACTGCATACCATTTGAATCTCTTCATGGCAATAAACCCAGCCATAATCATTTCTTGCCAGACACAAGGATATGGTTTATTACCTCTCTCTTCCATATTTACACTCTACTATTTACGCCAACATAGCAGCCAGAGTTGTGGTTTTAAAATGAAGATTAGACAGTTGCTACTTTGCTTAAACTTCAAGTGGACTTGAAATTAAAATAAATCCAAACTTCTCACTTTTGACTTCAGGGACCTGCATTATTTAGTTCCTACCTATATTTTGCACTAAATCCCACCATGCTCACTGGCCTCTGGTCACACTGACCACCTGGCTTTTTGTTGTGTGTGAAACCCCCAGATTCTGATTCATCAGGTTGAATGTCTCCATTCAAATTATTTTTCAGCCACCTTATGCATGATAGTCTTATTCTCTTCCCTAATCACTCTCAATAACATCTTCCCATTTGATTTTCCTTGTAGTACTTACTAACACATAACATCTTCTTAATAATTAATTTATTTTTTGAGCTCTCATCTACTCTACTGACATTAGAAAATAAACTTGCTAAAGCAGGGGTTGTTCTACTTTGTGTCTCATGAGTATAAGGCATATTCGTTGAATGAATACAATTTCTCTTCTTTACTGATAGAGAGTTAGTCTTAGACGGCATTCTTGGGAAAGGGGGAAGAAAGAGATCTTTTTATCAATCCTGTTGTAGAAGTCACCGAGCTGTGTCTGCGGAACTCCGGGGTACTAAACACTCTGAGAATGTCATCCTTAGAAACATGGTTCAGAGGAACTCACATACTAGAATCCAGAACTCAAGGAGTTTAGGAAAAATTGGGGCTATATTATTTCTTGACGGGCAGCTTAAGGAATACTTTAACACTGTTTTGTGGGAAAACATGAGTGTGTCTCTATAGAAATGGAAGTTGTGAATAATTGACCAAAAGAAAGCTGTTGAGAATGACAGGAGTTGTTACTGATTAGTACAGTATTTGGTGACCCTGTTCCAAGATCTGGTCCTCTGCTTTGACGATTCAGTTACTCATTCTTATTGGTGTTTATAGGCAATCAGCAGTGGAGTGAATTTATCATAAATAAAACTCCCACAAGGTTTTGACACCAGAATGACAGTGTTAATTTATAGCAAGCCAAACCAAACCAAACAACTTGAAGAACCAAAATGTTGTGTTCATATGAAATAGGGTCCCTTTCCGTAGACCATCTAGAAGCTGTTATAATCTCAAGATTTTGTTAGTGAAGAAACAATTAAAACTAAAGGAACTTGGAAGATGAATTTGAAATGTCTTGAAGGTGTTCTTACTATGGAGATGTGTTAGTGAGACTGGAAGGTCAACTCCTTTTTATGGAGTGCTGTGTACATACAAGCCAATTTCTCTATCTGTCAGAGTTCACATTGGGTATCCAGCTATGTTTTTTAAACATTTTTTTCCCCTTTGCACGAATTATGCAGGAGACTTTAGAGAAGGAACACACCCACACACAACTTTTAAAAAAGATATTTGATTTTTTTTTTTTTTTTTGAGTTGGAGTCTCACTCTGTCGCCCAGACTGGAGTGCAGTGGCCGCTCCCGGCCTCTGCAGCCTCGACCTGCTGGGCTCCGGCGATCCTTCCGCCTCAGTCTTCCAAGATATTTGATTTTAATGCTTACCAGTTAGTGTCTCGAAAGTTGTTCTCAAAAGAGAAAGTAAATAAAACTCTATTATTTATTATGGCCAAAGAAGACAAGCATTGATCCATGTAATTAAAGAAAGCCTTTTAAAATATAAATATATAAAGTAACTAAATGAATCCATCATGTAGTCTTTCCTGCCCCTAATTTTAAAATTAGTATTTATCAACTACTTTTTGCACTCTAGGCTTACTATATCAAAAGGTAGGTAAGCCAAGCATACTTGTAATTATTAGAGAAAATTCTAAAAAGTAAGAAGATGATCTAACTTGCTGAAAGGCAGCACATTCCCAGACTAAAATAATCCATAAGAAAAAAGAGATGACAGATACATTGGGTGGTTTAATGTTATGCTAATCTGCATCAAATAAAATGATACTTCTCATTTCCCTCCATCATGTTTGTTCATAATCCAAAATACCTTCACAATTGAGAAAGTATAGATGAGCATTTGGGAGGAGTGGGCAGTAGTGCAATGATTACGATAAGAAGAGAAAGGGGGGATTAAGTGCTCACGGGTGGGGACATCTCTCATCTTCCTACACTTGAATAGAGAGACAGAGCTTTCCCACATTTTAGCTGATTCAAATGGTCCCCAAGACTACTTTCATGAAATAAAGCAGAGGGAGTTAAGGTAAGAGAGCACTGGGAAGCAGAACAGGCAGAGCTGCTAAGACAGTCCAGGTTGTCCTGTGATTTTTCATGTAAGTACATTTTGAGCCCTTGGCTTGTTCCACATACCCCTTGGTACTGTATATATTACTCTTTCTGTTTGTTTTCCTGCTCCCTTCACCTGTCTAAGGCTAGACTGCTGTTGATATTTGTAATATTTAAGCATATTTCACTATTTAAATATGTTGGAGCTTAACAAATATATATGTAGAGAAAGAGATAGAGAGAGAGAGAATGTTCATGTCTATTTTACACTATACCTTCTGTCTTTCTTCTCATTTAGGAATGACCTGGAGAAATGAAAGTGGGTAATTTTTATCTGCAAACTTGTAATTGAGCACAAAATCTGCTGAGGATGGGAAATATCTCTGGAAAAACCAGCTGCTTTTCTGTGTTTAACAAAGGATCTTTTAACTAGTATTCAAACTCCTAGCAAGAAGCAAAATAGCATCATACACCTCAGGAATCATATCTCTTTGAAACTCAGTGGAGGAAAGGCTTAGAATGCAAAGTTTATAATGAGAAGTGACACTTATGGTAAAATGATCATTTAAAGTTTAAGAGTTCCTAAACTATGGCCATCTTTTAATGATTATTTCTATCCTAGGCAACTTGGTTACCTGTTGGTACTTTATTCTTTTTATTTCATATAAAAACACATCTCATTTTTTCCCTGACTCCTTATTCTTAAATTTATGCTAAGCCCAGTAGGATTATATATTCCTTTTTTCTGTTTCTCTTTAGAATTTAATATTATGTCTCCAGTGTTCAAAAATCCATTTCTCCCATAAAGTTACATCGAAACATTGCATAAATGTAGTGCCTATTTTCACACAGACATTTTTCTGTATTTCACAAAATTTATTAAAGACTACAAGAAACCCCTAAGATCAAATGAGATAATGAATTCTCAAAACAAATAAACAAAAAGCCAACCAACCAAACAAACAAACAGGGAGAGTATACCATAAGAGAATAACTAACAAGAAGTTCAGCATAGTAGAGCAACTTGAACTTTACTAATTGAAAGGAAGACGTTTCCCATTCTCCTTTGACTTTTCCCTGCTTCTTGTATGTTTTCCCTCTTTCTCCTGCATTCATCATGTTAAATGAGCCACACCGATTTCTTTCTGCTCCCTTTTCACCCTGGACATCTGCCAAACGTCATATTTATTGCTCCCTTTTGTCTTTACATCAGTTAAAAGGTAAAATATGGAGGTGTCCTTCACATTAAAATGTTAATTTTAAATTTGCACACACTTCCCAAAAATATTCGGTTAAACTTACATCCTTTGCCATATACTGAAAATTACATTGGATGGAAGACCAGTTCCTCAGAGGAGGTTTAAGTTTTGGTTATTAAAGATGTCAATCTCAAATATAATCCAAAAATTTTATGAAAAGTTCTTGAATTCTGTCATAAACTCTACTTACTCAATGTCAAAAAAATGGTTAAATCTGGTTGTGTCAGGAAGACAACATGAATGTATTTATCCATCTACCTATCATCTATCTATCTTCTCAATTTATCAAGTAATACTGAAGTAGGTTGAAAGTGCTCATAATTTTAAACATAATTCATTGTAAACCAAATTTTACAAATATCAAGTAAATTTTTTCTTGTTTGACAATTCTCCAGAAATCTCATGACTAGTGTGTGGCTGTCTTTGGATCTCAAATAAAGAAATATTTCTTTGAATTTTCTTACAGTCTTCAAGTAGAATACTGTTAGCTTCCTAGTCCTATTTATAGCATTTCTATTTTTTCTTCTCTTTCTATTTGAAGACTATAAATGTAGGTTCATTTGATAAAGGAGAAATGTTATTTAAGGCAAGTCTTTCCAGATAATGCATGACTTTCCATCTCTGGAACTATTTCCCATACATACTAAGAGAGAAAACAAAAATCATGTAATTTATAAACAATCATGAAGGTAGAGAGATCTTCATACAACAGGAAGAAACTGCTGATTTTAATATAGACCATGATACTGTAACGCAGTCTCTCTTGCATTCTCTTTTACTTTTGTATAACAAAAAGTCTTAAATTACTAGGTATAAGGAATAGAATGAATGAATGAATGGATTCTGCACAGGTGCAGAGAAATTCAAGAGCATCTTACACACTGTGTAAAGCATGTGCTGATTTAAAAAATACTGTATTTCAACTACTACAATAGTTAAAAATAAAGAAAAACCTTCATATGGTATATGAATCAGCATTTGGGGTGTGTTTGAAAAATAGGTATCCTTAAAGAATTAGATGAAAGAAATAATACATATAATATCCTAGTGAAAGCCATTAGCTGACTGTGGGTATGAGTGTGTGTGTGTGTGTGTGTGTGTGTGTGTGTGTGTGTGTGTGTGTGTGTACTTTTAAATTATTGATTTGGGCTTTGAATTTTTCTTTTTGACCTGAATGTTAATTTGAGAGATCTAAGAAACTATTTCTTCCAACCTGGAAACTGGATCACTTCTTAACCAGTAATTCTATCCCTTAGGGTCTTAGTATCTATGTTATTCATGGATTTTCTGCCATCAGTTTGATATTCTAGAAGGATCACAATTTGATGGATGATTTTTATAGTAGCTGTAATGTTTGCAAATAGCAAACAACCTCTTTTTAAAAGTGTTGCTATAGAACACCTGCTTGTGATACTGAACTTGTTTGCCAGAGGGGCCTTGGTATTACTTCAACAATAGACAGATTTCTCTTTGACATTTTGAAATCGATGTTCGCCTAAAAAGCTGTCTTGATTTTGTTTCTACCTCTCTTGCCTGAAGGATTCATCACTATACTATCACAGCTCCACTGGAAAGCTTGAGAATTTTTTTTGGATCACCTAACATATATAGTTATTTAAAGTATTTGATGTTTTCTTCTGTTTCAGCCAAATTATGAGCTGTTCTTTTAACAGTGCATTTAAAACAATCTCTTACCACTACTCACAGCACTGATATTCCTACAGTCTACTAAATGAAGGAGGAAGCCAGTCAATTCTACATCCTAATTAGAGATTTTTAGCTGAGAGTCCGTGGACTCTCATGGAATACATGGATATAATCAAGTGATACAATTATGTCTTCATATATGTTTTCCTGAAGACTTTTCATAACTTTCACTGAATTATCAAAAGTGCTGTGGCCCAAATAATGTTTAAAATTTCTGATCTGAATACTTAAGAGAACACGTTAATGTCATATATGGTCATTATAAAGATTCTGAACTCACATTGCACAAAGGAAATGCTGTAAAAAATCAGCACTATTTTACAACTGCAGAAATACCAAATACCCACTAGGGGGCACGAAAACCTAAATGAAGGTTTGGAAGCAAACCAGGTATTTTCTGGTTTTCACAAGCTGAGAGAGAGAAAAGTATTTCCAGTAAATTGCCCGTACCGATTCCTTATCTTTGTCTGCACACGTTCAATATTTAGGATATATTTTGGGCATCTTATTCCTCTGGAAATAGTTGAACAGGACAAAACCCCACCAATTTCATAGATTATTTATGTTCAAGGTGTTTCCAAAAAGATACAAAACAATTCTGACAGCATTTTGTGTTTCTTTTAGAAAGATAAGTCATTTTCTATAATGTGAGCTACAATTGAAGCATAATTTTAAATGAGAAGCCCTTAACTAGGACCCTTAGTGTGAAAATTAGGTGAAATTAAGGGATTGGGTTTGTGGATAGAAAGGGAAAACATTAAGGAAAGAACTAAGATGTTTTCAGCACATCTACTCAACATTATACACCAAACCCTTAACATTAGATTTCAGTAAGGCTTACTGTCTGTGTTCCTTTGGTGTGTGCCTTTTTAGAAAAACAAATTCTTCCCTGTTTTCTATTTTTTTCTCATGTTTTCAGTCTATTATGAAGTGAGGGCTTTAAAGGTATAAATGAAACATGTGATTGTGACCTAACATCCTAATGAAAAATTTTTTTTACCAAAATGAATGCCATTAGTAAAAGACTACATAGTTTCCTTTAAAATTTTCCTTCAAATAGAAAAATTCAAAGACAAAATCAATAATTAAAAGGCCACACACACACACACACACACACACACACACACACACAGCTCTCTCTTATTTTCAAAGGATGCTTTTCAGAGCCCATGTTTCAACACTTTATTCTTCATGTTTAAAATGTTAGGAAAATAGATGTACCATTGATTATTATTGTGAGTTGCACATTAAGAACAAACAAATGAAAAACCCTAACAGGCACTGGCTTTCCCAGCTGTGGAACCAGCGGAAATATTTTCCTCTGCTTTGGGTTCCGTCCTTTTTGCCTGGAGCCACCCTTTCACTCTCACATATCTTTGAGTCTGGTCATGTCATTCTCCTGCATAAAAGCCTTCATTGTCTCTCCATCACCTGCAGGAAAAGACCCGAACTCCTTGGCATGATGCGCACAGCTCTTTATGACTTGACCTTGGCCACCTGGTCCTCACTGCTCACCCACACATACGAAGGGGGATACCCCCTAAAAATGGAATGATAAAAAATTGTGTATTTATTCTTACATGTTTAAATGTCAGCCCCCTTCAAAGTACTCTCTGCCTTTTCCTCTACTCAAAACAGTTTTTGAACTCATCCATTTTGATGCCTTTTAGTGCTTCTGCTGTTTTTTTTTTTTCCACCTCTTCCACATTGGCAAAACATGTACCTTTGAGGACTTTTTAAATAGAGAAAACAACCAAAAAAGGTGCTTGGATTGAGATCAGGTGAAGAGGGAGAGTGGGGTATGGAGCTCGTGCCCTTTCTGGTCAAAAACTGCTGGACACTCAGCCAGGTATGGGAAGGTACACTTGTAAATCTCTCATCATGACATGGCAAACCTGTTGAAATAATCTTCAAAAAAAAAAAAAAAAAAAAAAAAAGAAAGAAAGAAAGAAAAGAAAAAAGAAAGAAAGAAAAGAAAAGAAAAGAAAAACATTCACTGAAGCCAAATGCCAAATGCAGCCTCTCACAGCACTAGCTGGTACACTGTTGTTAATGGGTTTCCAGAACACTGACCTAGCAAGAAAAGCCTGTACTACAAGGGGCCCACTCTCCAAAAAGATAATTCTGGTGTTTTTTGACACCCCCCTCCCCACTCCCAGTATTCCAAATTCTAACCAGAACAAGTAATTTTCTATGACTGGAATGTACTATGTCCTTCCATTCCTCTATGCCTTGGATACTGTTTTTCTAGAATGTTCCACTTTTCACTCCCACATCATAACCTTTGGGTAAACTCCAATTTATACCGATAAAGCTCAAACATCAGTTCTTATCTAATGAATGTCTGGCTATTTTATCTGGATCCAAGAAGGGTGTCCACTCTCCCTTTTCTATGCCTCCAATTCTGCTTACAACTAATAGAGTACAATTAGTGTTTTACAGGCCTATCTTCTTTCACTAAACCATAATGCTCATAAGGTCAAGGATCATGTCATCATTATATACCCAGGTCTAGTGCAGACCTTGTCCAATGCTGAGCAAATAGTTGGAACTCAATAAAAATTTATTGATTAAATATATCCTTCAGGGAAAAGTCTGATGGTAAACTATACACATGGGAGGGAGTTGGAGGCGGGAATACATATCTACTGCTCTTTTTCTCTTAACCAGATTTCTTTTTCTCCCCATACCCAGCACCACGTCATCTCAATTCTTCTAAATTCCTCTCCCATACTTAGATGACATGCCCAGCATAACCTGGATCTACACTGTTAATATATTCTACTTTTTATACAGAGAAATCATTTTTAACCTAAATGGTTTTATTTTTAGAGACAAGGTCTTTTTCTGTTGCCCAGGCTGGAGTGCAGTGGCACCATCTTGGCTCACTGCAACCTCAAATTCCTGAGCTCAAGCAATCCTCCTGCCTTAGCCTCCTGAGTAGCTAGAACTTCAAGTACATAGCACTAAGCCTGACTATTTCTATTTTTTGTAGAGATGAGATCTCACTATGTCACTCAGGTCTATGTGCAAAATAGACTAAGTTGCTGGTGGTTTCGAACTCCTGACCTCAGGCAATCCTCTCACCTCGGCCTCCCAAAGCGCTGGGATCACAGGCTTGAGTTACTCTGCTGTGCCTAACCTAGATTATTTTAAATGAAAATCAAAGTGGAAAGACCTGACACTTTTCCAGTTTCTACCTGTTTTCTACAGTCACATGCTTAACAAACATGAATCTATGAATCTGGTCAGAATTAGTTTTAAATTATTATTATTTTCTTATAGATGAGGTCTCTTTATGTTGCCCAAGCTGGAGTGCAGTGGCTAACCATAGATGTGATAATCACACACTACAGCCTAGAGTTCCTGGACTGAAGTGATCCTTCTGTCTTAGCCTCCCAAGTAGCTTAGACTATAAACATAGACCACTGTGTCTGGCTGGGCCAAAACTTAAAATACAAATCACTCAAATTTGACAGGTTTTGTAATCTCAAATATCCAACAGTTTGAATGACTAGAGATTGCTGTTCTCTAAATCTCGCAAATAAATTCTGAGAAATGGCTGAGTTTTTCTATATCTCTCTACTCTTCTCACAGATGCTACTGCTAGATAGTGAACACTGGAAATTGCCTGAAAATTCCCTTTGTGCTATGCATTTTCTTAACAAAATCCTCCCTGCTTATGCCCTGGAATCATTTCAGAAGAGGTATGCTTGTCTTCCAACAAAAGAAAATTAATCCACTAAACAAATCAAGATCTCAGCAAATGCTAGGGTCTTTTGCTTTTGGGTTGTTGGCACCAGCTTTTCTGAGATGAGTGTTTTGGTTTTGCATCTCTAGAGGTTTCACCTTCACCACTGTCAGGGCTGCTCTCAAACTGGGGGCTTTCTTCAGTGACCTGCTGCTTCTGTTCCAGTCTCTTCCTGGCCTTTGAAGGGTAACTCTGTTGACTAAAACTTCCACTGTGCCTGCTTCCAGTCACTGCTGCTGCCCTGCAGGCCATCACCCAAGGAGCCAAATCCCTATGCCATTTGACTGTGCTCTTGATAAGCCTGTGTTCTTTTTTTTTTTTTTTGAGTTGGAGTCTCACTCTGTCACCCAGACTGGAGTGCAGTGGCTGCTCCCGGCCACCGCAGCCTTGACCTACTGGGCTCTGGTGATCCTTCCGCTTCAGCCTTCCAAGTAGCCAGAATTACAGGCATGCGCTACCACGCCCGGCTGATTTTTTGATTTATTGTAGAGATGAGGTCTCGCTGCCCAGGCGGGTCTCGAACCGGTGGGCTCAGGCAATCCACTCATGTCAGCCTCCCAAAGGCGCGGGATTACAGGCTGAGCCACCGAGCCCGGCTAAACCTGTGTTCTTATAAGCAGGCACATCACTCCTGAAACTGCTCACTGCTTAAGATCCATTCAAAAAGTTCTCAGTGCCTTTGCTACAGGAAGAAACAGCTGGTCCCAGGTGTATGCAGCACCAACCTAAGAGGAGAGTGTTTCTTAGGCAGCTTAAAAGCAAGAAGTGGATCTGTTTATTGTGAATGTTTTTGCTTTTTTTCTCACCTGAGTTCACACAGTCTGATAGCTATTAGAGATCCCATGACACCTTTAAGTTGTATTTACCAATTTTATTTTTGACTGTACTTTTGAAATTACTTATGGATTATCCAGTAATGACCTAACACATCTCTTATTTCTAATTCTGCCCTGGAAGTCCTGATTATTTGGTTACTTATTGTCTACTTCTTCAGTGTGACAGAAAAGAAATCATAAAATTCTAACTGCCTAGGAGATAAGACTTGGCTGTCTACTGGGGCAGAGAATTAGGCCTTGTTTGGGCAGCAGCGGTGTCTGAGATACTGGTATTATAAATGCAAGTTGTATTCCTCCTGGCAGATCTGGCCATGCCAACAAGAACATTATTCCTGTTCCCAAGTACCTGGTATGATCTGGTGGCAGCCCCTTTGCTCAATTGACCCCTCTGGGCAGGGCCTGGGCTCCTCCTGGGCATGGGTCCAGTGTGGAGTTTACTACCACAGAGTAGTTCTCACAAATCATACAGCCAAGCTGCCAGCCTGCCTTGTTCCTGGCATATCTATGTGTCCCTCTGCCCAGTCACTGACCAGGGACTTCTCTCCTGTTAAAAATTTTAAAATTATTTACGTATCAATAATTTAATGGGATGATACTTCATGTAACTAGACACAGCTCTTTAAATATAGACAAAGAGGAGATCAGAGAAAATGTGATTTAACCTCCCAAAGACAGCCATCTCCACTAAATTGTTAGTCTTCAATTTAACCTAGAAAATTTCTATATCCTTAAACAAACTTTGTTTTTGATGAGAATCCAAGAGCCTATATTTACATTAGATATGTTTTAGAAGAATGATTCTATTCCAATCAATGTGAGACAAAGGTATCCCCTAAAATTAAATGAATATACTATATGCATTTTGTGTTTAGATCTTCTGCCTCTTCTTAGGAGATTAAAGTACTAAATGAATGGTCATTCTTCCAATTAACTATGTAAATTAGGCATATTCAGAAAAAATATACATGAAGGCCTTAAATTTATGGCTCTGCCTCTAGAATTCTACTTAATCAGACTCCTATATGAAAACAAAATGAAACTAAAAGTACATAAAAAAAGAAACAAAAAGCACACCTGCTTAAACATAAACTAATGAAAAAGAAGAAACCCTCTATTAAAAATTTATTTACCTCAGGTTTTATTTTAAGGAGAAAGAGGAAACAAATTATTTGAAAATAAGTTGAAACTAGAAATTAAAAAAAAAAATCCAGCATATTACCCACATTCCGAGCACAATCAATGTATAATTTCTCACATCTCTTTATATATTCCCATCTACACTTAATTTTCTGGAAATGAGATTAGATTATAAGCATAATATCTTAGTTTAAAAATAATATTGTTTGCATTTAGGGTCTAAGCAGGAAGACAAAAATCACTTCAAGTTTCTGTAACAGAATAGGGTCAACGAAGGGCATTCTCACCTCATAAGATGGCAGAACTGAGAAGCCTGGAGATCACCCAGCAGTTAGCAACTGCAGGAAGCCTCTACCAGCAGGAGGCTGGAGAGGCCAAGGGAGAAGAAGGTTCATGAGCTCAAGGGCAGAGAATCAGATGGAAGCTGGATCCTTGCCAGGTTTTGAATACAGAAGGAATTAAAAGAGGGTTGGCAAATGCCTTAGAAGATGCAAAGAAAGAAGAGAAATACACTGATTCTTCCCTCAGTCCCCTTCAGATATCCTGTTGGTGCTTTCCATTGCCATAACCAGCAGGAACTGAGATGAGACGCCAGCCTGGGAAGATAAGCCTGCTGGGGTCTGGATCACTAGTTTAAGAAGCATAACCAAACTGAAACCCAGGGCTTTTCCCCCCAAAGCTGTGTTCTGCCGGCTTCACCACAGCTCACTGCAAAGATCCAATCTGGTTCCAAAACGTTATGAACCTGATACAGAGCTGTTATGCTGTTAATGGTCTCCAGCAATTCCCCACTAAAGGTAGAAAATTGCATTTTGCCAGAATTAGAATCCCAGTAGTGAGACTGATTGGAACCCTCTGGGTAGCAGCGTGGTGAGTCAAGTCACCTGTGTTTTGGATGCTCACAAGTAAATCAGCCTTATGACTTTAAGAACTAAGGTTATGTTAGGTCTTCTTCTAGGGGAGGCTCCAGGCTTTTCAGTTTCTGTCAAAGATGTGCATTTTCAATCCCTTGTAAATTGAGAAAAAGCTAAAGAATCAAAATATCTGTTTTGACAGAGTGACAAAAAAAAAAAAAAAAAAAAGCCAAACATGAAGCGACATCATAAAGATGTAAATTAGATCTGATGATTGTAAAATGTTCTACTTGTCTAAAATGGGCACAATGTGTAATGAAAGCTGGTCCCTGGGGCTTCCAAGCCTTATGGTGACTAAGTGTTGGCAAGAGACTCTTAATTAGAATAAACTGTTTCCAAGTTGAATCCTTCAACAGATCATTGAAAATGCCATCAGTAATAAATTAAAGCCATATTTTAAGGACAGGTGAGAATGTGTATAACCAAGTTGCCTTTAAAAATGATTTCAGTTCCATAGTTCAATTGCTCTTGAGTCTTTTTTGCTGTAGGAGTTTTTGTTTTGGTTGTTGTTGTATTTGTTATTTTTTTAAATCACAGTAATAAAAGTCTATAGCTAAATATGTCAGAGCCTGGCTGTTAGTTATAAATTTAGATAAAGAAAAAAAATTATTAGGTTTAAAGGAGGATATAAGATTGCAGATGAGACTTTTGGCAATAAAATGGAAACATATGATGTGTGCTTTAAATTAAAAACAAGAAAGAACATAATGATTTCATTATGGGTGTCATTAACATGAATAGCTAGAATACTCTTTTAGAATTTGTTTGACAACTTGATGTTTCAACCAGTAATGAGGGGTTACGATAATGGTTTATTTACAGTTGTAGGGTAGAGGCTTCTGGGGTTTTCACTACTGCAGTAACCTCTGAGAGTAGTCGCTATGTGATCAATTGTGGTTGATTTTCATTATGAGAAAATGAGGTTAAAACTTGAAACAGCAGAAGTGTATTCCTTGAAACATTTGCTAGTGGTTTTATAAATACAAATAAAATTGTTTACTTTGATAAAAGCACTTAAAGTAGTGAACTTCCATATATAAAAAGATAAGTTAAAGCAAATTATAAAAGCTAAAAGCAAATATTACTCTTAAATATATATTCTTCCTTCTTCTTTTTTTCCTCCCTCCCTCTTCCTCAAAAATGTATCTAGCTGCTATAGTGAGTAGGGTACTTTGAGGCTGATAATAAATTGAAAACTTGGTTCTTCAACTGAGCACCCGCCCCCACAAAGATCTCACAGTTAAGGAAAGAAGTTAGAGCAATAAATAAATAATTGAACTCTTATCATCTCAGGTTTCTAAATATTTTTATACACCTTTTCCCTCTGCCTTTAAGATGCCTAAGCTAACTATTTACATCCCATGCTCTACTTGATCTAAGGTCTACTGGAAACAATTGTTAATGATCTCATTTACATCTCTGCTATTCACCCTAAAGAGAAATGCCCCTATGACTTAACTCTGTTCAAGTCTAAGTGAATCTCTTTTTCTCATTCTCAAAAGTTTCTAAACTATTTTTTATGTGATATAAATAATGTCTTTCAGTTGTCCATTGTTGCCTCTATTTTACTCATTTAGAGCCAGTCTTCTTTTGTAAAAGGCAGGCAAGCTGGCAAATATTTTAGGCTTTGCAGAATATACTGTCTCCCTCACAACTACTCAACTGTATTGTCATGCAAATACAACCCTAGGAAATCCATAAGTGAACTTGGGTAATTATAGTCCAGTAAAACTTTATTTAGGAGCACTGATATTTAAATTTCATACAATTTTATATGACAAGAAATAGGATTTTTTTTTCTAGCCATTTAAACATGTGAAAATTCTCCTAAGCTTGCAGGCAATACAGTAATAGGAAATGGGCTGTGCTTGACCCACAGACCATAGTTGGCCAAACCCAGACTTAGAAGGAACAATCTGTGTAATCGATTCACTTTGGAAAGGTTAAGTGCTGTTTCTTCTAGAAGAGTTTGAAACCATTCAATAAATCATCATTTTAATACTGTAAAATGTGTTTCTTCAAACATTTCATGCTTCTTGACTTTAGGAAATGCACCTTCTGGGGGAAAGAAAAGTGGCACCTCTGAATCAAAGTTCATCTGCCTCTTTCTCATTCCTGCCCTTTCCACCATTACTGGATGTCTTTGGTTCACAGGTTTATAGTAGATGGAAGGGAGAGTGAGATGAGGCCCTGTTTCCTGTCTACCACTTATGTAATTTTGGTGCAGGGGGTGTGGGGTGGAGGAAGTATTATGCTTCAAACACTGTGCTAAGTGTGGGAAGGCAGAGATTAACAGCAGCAGCCCTTGATGTTAGTGACCTCCAGGAGGGAAAGCCGCAGCATAGGTAATAACAATGGAGAGTAA